ACAGGAAACTGGTTCCGGGGGCCAAAAAAGCAGGAGTGGGTGGGAAGGAACCAGGGGAGAGACAATTTGGCAGAAGGGGAACCCGCCCCCACTGGGCACACGCGGTCATGGGGAAGAGGTCAGACACGGCCACAGCCTGCCTGCAGCTAGGACCGTCCTCTGTGGGGAGGGCTCCCCTCAGGGACACGCCCAGGACAGACACACAGACACACACACAACCTCTCACACACAGACACACACAGAGACACAGACACACGTACTCTCACACAGACACACATACAGAAACACACAATCTCTCAGACACATAGACACACACATTCACACACACCACTCACACAGAGACACACAGTCTCTCACACACAGTCACGGAGAAATACACTCACACACAGAGACAAACAGACACTCTCCCACACACAGATACACACACTCACACACGCACAAGCACGTGCACACACAAACACACACACTCTCATACACAGACACACACACTCATACACACACTCTCCCACAGACACACACACTCTCACACACAGACACACCTACGCACACACGACAGGCAGCAACACCACAATCGTTGTGGTCTGTGCGGGTGTGGCTTCTCACTTTTCAACTCAGGGTCCAAGTCTGGATTCTTCTGTGAAATTTCCTGATGGTTTCAGTGCTGTGCAGGCCAAACCAAACAGGCTCTCCAGGAACTGACAGGAAGACAATCCCCCGGCTGCCCCCAGAACCCACCGCCGGCACCAGGCTCAGTCCTCGCTCCCAAAGAGAAGAGGAGGAGGAGGAGGAGAGGGAGGAAGGGGAGGAGGAGGAGGAGGAAGAGGAGGAAGGGGAGGAGGGCCCAGCCCTCGGCCCCTCCGGGTCTGGCAGCAGCCTGGGGGGCCCTGTCAGCGTGTGTGAGGTGAGTCAGGGAACTGCCGAGTCAGGACCGCAGAACTTCCTGAGTGGGGTGCAGGAAGCAGAACAGAACCCCCCCATCGCCGGCTGCCCCAGGAGCAGAGTCAAGCTCGGACTGAGGTGTGGGATGAAGTTCACGGTCCAAAGAGAAACTCAGGTGTGGGCTGAGGCCCAAGGTCTGGGACCGCAGCACCACGGACAGCGAGGTCCTCCTTCCCCACTGGCCCTCGCCAGCAAGGCAGCTGACCACCACCAACTAAGCGACAAGGTCCAGCAGCAAACGGCCAGGGGACGGTCCAAGGGGTCGGGGAAAACACAGCAGCAGACTGAGGTCGCCGGCCCCGATAGCATCTAAGCCCGGGGAGGGCTGCGAAACCAGGCCTGCGCAGACCTCGCATTCCTGGGCCGTGGCGTCAGTGCTCAGCTGGCGGGGCAAGACACTGCCCGGGACCCAGGTGGGGCCGCCAGCCAGCGGGTGCTGAGGCAACGCGGATTGCGACACCTGGGCCCGGCCCGCACAGGGAGGCAGCGGGAGGCGACGGCAGCAGACAGACAGGGCAGGCCTGGAGCCAAGGCCCGCCGGCCACGCCCCGGGGCGCTGAGGCCATGCACTCTGGGGTCGCCGGGACCCAGACACCCTGGTCGGCCCCTTCGCGTCCAGCCTGTCCACCACACTGATCCACTCGGCCGCACACGAGGACCCACCTCGCTCGGGCCGGTGGGGGCGCTGCAGACGCTCTGACTCCGTCCAGGTGAGCGTCCAGAGTGCCGGGCACTTCCTTGCTCCAGGTGAGGCGAGGTGGGGCCTTTCCCTCCCTTTCCTTGTCTGGAGCACCTGGCCGGTACTCAGGGGCCGTTCCTGGCTTGGTCCTAGGAAGGGATGTCCTGGCAGTGCTCAGGGAACCGTGCATGGATGCTGGGGTTCAAACACGGCGGGTGGCGGGCCAGGACTGACATCCCCCGCCGTCTCTCTCCCCGGGGCCCTGCAGAGGGAGTTCCTGAAGCCGACGGGCAAAGCACCTTTGGCAAGGCGCGCTCCGGAGAGGTGGGGCCGATTTTCGGCCTCCCCCCCGACAGGGCTGCTGTTCGGGTTTGGAAAGAGGCACCGGCAGGCGGTGCCCCCAACTTTCCCACGGCCCAGGCGCTGCCCGACCTTCTGCCCCAGCCCCGCTCCCCGCCTGCCCGCAGGGGTACCACACACAGCATAACATGGGCAGCTGCAGCCCGGGTGCCCGGCCCCTGCAATCTTGCAGGAGGAAACCCCTTTCTCCCAAGAAACTGTCACCCGCGCACTCCTGCCCCCTCTACCCTGGCCTTGGTCCTTACCCCGGGCCATCACACTCATCCTCGGACCCTTCTGTCCCATACGCCACAGCCAAAGGCACCCCTAGACCAGGCCCGGCCCGTCCTTCCACACGCACAACCCTGACCCCTCTCACGAGGCCTCCGCTGGCCACGGAAGCCACGCTGGGGGTGACCGACTATCCTATGCCCCTCTCCACGGGGTCCTCCACACTCCCAACTCTGTCACCCTGGCCACTCAGCGTGTCCACGGGCTGCGGCCCCGTCGGGCTGCTGGCAACCCCTGCCCTGGCACTGATGGCCTGCCTTCACCCCAAATCAGGGAGGCCCCTCGGTATGTCCTCAACCTTAGTCAGCGCTGCACTGACCTCTGGGCACCAGCCCGGACCCCAGGCGCCCACGGGGCTGTTGCTGCATTAGAACCCAGCACCCGACACGCAGTGGATTCTCGGCAAACAGCCTGAGGGGTGGGGGTTGCTGGGCCGGGTGGACACTTCCAGGGCAGGCCCAGAGCGGACAGAAGGGGTCAGCCTGGCGATGTCGAGCAGGGACGGACAGCAGGGGCATGGCAGCGAGCTGGCCCCCGGGGGGCTGGTCAGGGGCTGCTCCCAGTCCCGGGGAAAGGACGGAGCACTGCATCCCAGCCAGGATGAATGGGAGCACTGTGAGCAGAACCTGGCACTTACACAGCACCTCACTCCCAAGTATACGGGCGAGTTAAACACACGGCTGCTGCAGAGCTGCTATTACGGGTCCGTGATTCAGAGAACTAATTACGGGACCAGCGGGTTCCCCCACCTGGCCCCTCACTTATCGCTGACCTTAATGACCAGAGCCCAGCGTCTTCCGTCTGCAGTGCTCCACAATCTTCAGTGCCACAGGAAGTGCTCCCAAGTCCGGGGCAGGCCTCTGGGGCATCGACACGGTCAAGGTGCAAGAACCATGCCCCAGGCCTGGCTATGGGCAAGAGGCAGGGGAGGGGAGGGGAGGGAGGGGAGGGGAGCAAGACGCGGGGCAGCCGGGGAGGAGGTCACACGCCCCTCGCAGGCGGCCAGCAGGGCCTTGATGTAGCCGCCGAGCTGAGGGAGCAGACGGCACGGAAGGCCGGTCCACGTGAGCTCCTGCCAAAGGACGCAGCCACACTCTCACCCGCGGGGCGAGCGGCGATGTGTAGAGCCGAGTGTGGGGGCAGTGGCAATGGCACCAGGCCCCAGGGGCTGCACTGGAGGCCCACAGGCATGTGGCACACCGCAACCCCGCTCGCAGGGGAGACACGGCACCCCACATTCACGGGGTCGTGGCACGCCGCCCCCCACACTTGCAGGGCCCTGGGGAAGTGCTGCTGACTCTTAGAGGCGGGGCCCAGGAAGGCCCCAGGCTGCCCTTCAGAGCCGGGAGGTGGGGTGGGGGCAGGCCACCAAACCCAGATCACAAACCTGCCTCCCATCCTGAACCCCTGGGAAAGCCACACAGTGGGGAGGAGACAGTCCAGCGGGCACCGCAGGTGTCCCTCGGGCACCTGGGGGTGCACCCACATTCCCGCCCTGTCCCCTCCCCCCAGCAGCGCTGAGCGGGGGAGGCTCCCAGCACCTTCTTGCTCTGAAGGACACGCGTGCAAACCTCTGCCTGTGAGCTCTGTGGAGGCCTGTCGCTCCCACTGCTGCCGGGCACGGCTGGAGAGGGAGGCGGCCGGCCCGTGCGGTCATTTCAGGCCTGGCTTTAGAGGAAATGACCCGCCCTGCACAACCCCCACCGGCCCTGAGGGCTCCCGGCTTCACTCACAGCCACCAGGGCCCAAGAATCCAACCCAAGGGCTGGATTCTCAATCTCCCTGACCACCACGGTCACTCCACATGCTCCTGGCCAAGAGGATACCAGTTTCCAACCCTGATCGTGGTCTGTGTGTGTGTGGCTCCTTGGGGGTGCTCTCGAGGCCAGTGATTCTCAGGCCAGTGGCCCCAAGGCTCTGCCGTGCTGGGGGCCTTCAGGGCTGCACCGTGGAATCCTAGGTCAGACCAGCGGGGCACGCGCCCTCACTGAGCACAAGCTCCTGCCCCCAGACCACTTTTCATCTGGGTTGGTCTCTTAGGCCTAGAGTGTGGGTGTCCTGAGGACAAATCCTTTTCTCTCTATTTCGGGGGCACACCTGGCGATGCTCAGGGCTTGTTCCTGGCTCTGCGCTCGGGAATCACTCCTGACCATGCTTGGGGGACCCTGGGTAATGCCGGGGGTTGAACCCGGGTCGGCCTCGTGCAAGGCAAGCGCCCTCCCTGCCGCACCAGCGCTCTGGGCCCCATAGCAGATGGCATCAGTTGACACGTCCACGTTCACTCTTGGGCCCGGGTTCCGCCGAGCATGTGACTGGCTGATGGTCTCTTGTGCCAGAGGGGCAACAGGAACGCTCTCCATAACCCTCGAGAGCGCTCACTGTGCTCAGGGCACAGCAGGGACACTGAGTCACAGGCCCCAGAAGCCGCTTTCCCACAGTCCGGCCGGCACTCCTGGCGGCTGGTGAGGATCCAGGGAGATGAGCTTGGGTGGCCCCGGTACTCGGAGCCAATGGTATGAATCACAGAGGCCCAGAGACAGACAAACAGACAGACAGACAGAGGCATGCATTGCCCCCGGGGACATCAAAACACAGCACCCCTCCTGAGTTTTCTCTCTTCTTCCTCTCCCCAGAGGCCAGCCCGGGAACAGCCTATGCCACGGTGCTCCTTGCCTATGCCGCGGTGCTCCCTGCCTGGAACTCCAGCGTCTCCCGACACGGGGCTGTGTGCCTGGCTCGTCCCCTCTGAAGAATGGGTCTCAACTTGACCCTGGCAAAATTACCAGGTAAGCCTGGGGTTGTGGGTGTTGGGGGCAGGGGGGAATAAGACAGCAGCTTGGGGCAGACCACGGCTCCGACCAACGCTGGAGCCGAATCGGGGGTTACGAGCCACAGAGCCAAGGCACAGGACAGCCCAGCCAGGAAGCATGACAGGCCCGGCACAGAGACGGAAGCCGTGTCGCCCCCTTTGAAACCCGCATCGTCTCAAGACTGTCTCTGAGGGGACGGAGCAGGCTCACTGCAACCCTCACCGTGACCTGGGCCACTCCTTGGCCCAAACGAGGGCCCACCGTGCCCCTTCCCCAAAGGTCAGAGTCAGTGTCCGCCTGCTGGACCGTGTACAGGCTCACGGAGGCCGGGGCCCCGTGCCAGTCATCAGCACGACTCAGGGCCCTGGCCACCTGGCAGGTGGCGATGTGTCACTGACACATCCACACTCTGGGCCAGAGCAACACGGCGAGCAGGGCAGGCGCCCAGGCTGGTCACCTCATGCCTGCTCATGGCGCAGGACCGCGATGGTCGAACACGGGTGCCAACAAGGACCGAGACCAGACCCCGGGCCCGGGTTCCTGACGGCAGAGCACTCGGCACAGGGCACTGGCAAAGGACTGCAAGACGGGAAGGGGTGCAGGCAGCCGCATCCAGCCCCTCTGCATGGCCCAGAATACACCGTACATACAGCCACCCATAATGTGAAGTTCTCCAACACACACACACATACACACACTCAAAAACACATACATACACGTGCCATGCACACACACATGCACACACATACACACACAAACACACATGCACACAGATGCAAATACACATACACACATGCAGACACAAACACACATACACACGCACACACACATGCACACACACATACATACACATATACACGCACACACGCACACACATGCAAACACATACACCCATGCAGACACAAACACACATGCACACGCACACACACAAACATATACACACACAATGCACACAGGCATGCACACACAAACAACATACATACACATGCACACCAAACACATACACGCACACATACATGCACACACACATGCACACACACACACAAGCCCACCTGAGGTACCACATTGTTCCACCCCACACACAGACACAGCAGATAATTTCCAATAGTCATGGCAGTACTTCTCAACCGGGACCACATGGCCCCCAGTGCACCCCCGAGGGCCCCTGGCATAGCCCAAAGGGGTAGAGGTGGAATCGCAGAAACTGGGCGCCAGCTGTCGGGTGTGGGGGGGGAGGGTGCAGCGGGAGAAGGCCGAGTTCCCTGCACTGGCAGCCTCAGGGCATTGCCTCTGAGCCGTGCGAAGGAGGGGGTGCAGAGGACGAGCGAGGACTCTCTCAGCCCACTCGTCACTCAGCACCCAAGCCCAAGGCACCCAGGGAGCGCGGCTGGGAGGAAGCAGCTTCCTGGCGGGCGGGGCTGCGGGGGCTGCTCTAGCCCGCGCCCCCCCAGGCCCTCGCACCCACCTGCCAAGCCAGGAGGGGCCGGGCTGGCGAGAGCGCTTCCGAGCACGCCCACGGGCTGGCAGGGCAGCACAGAGATTCCTTCCACGCCAGCCCGGGAGTGGGCACCCGGGCCTGCAGGGCTGCCCCCAGGCTGCTGCCCCTGCTTCTCCGGAACCTTTGCTCCCTCCTGCCGGCCCGCCGGTAAAACAAGCCCTCAGCGGCCTTGACCACTAATTGGAGGAAGCCGTGCTGTGCTGTCGGCGGGGACGCTGGGAGGACAGACCCAGCCCGGCCGAACCCAGAGTTAAGACGCCCTGTGGCCCAGAGGCTGATCCCAACACCAGAGCTGGCGGTGCCAGTCTCAGGCGGGGGAGTGCCAGCCCGGCACCAAAGCCGCGGCACAGGGCCGAAACCACGGGAGAACAAAGAGCACTGTGCCCGCCCAGGAGTTCCTCGGATGGCAGGCACAGCCACTGTCTAACTGGCCCCTGTCACACGGAGACTAGCGTGGCCGAAACTGCAACTGAAGAGTGAAGCTCCCGTCACTGCCGGGAGACGGTGCAGAGGCCAGACAGAGGCTTCACGGCAGGAACCCCGGGCTCCATCCCGGGCACCACCTGGGGCACTGCTAGGACTGACTCCCTGAGCACTGGAGAGTGGTTCCAAGACACGGAAAAGCAAGAACAGACCTGTTGGGGCACTGAAAACTTTTAAGCACTGTGCCAAGGGACTGAAGAGAGATGCAAAATTGCTCAGGAAACCCAGAAAGTGCGAATCCTTTTGCTCAGCGGTGGATGGACACAGCAGGAACAGACCGGCAGGCTGGGAATCGAGCTACCAGGGGCCATGAGAACCCAGGGAGGCCTAGGGCATGGCTTCCGGGCCAAAGCCTGAGGAGATTCAATCACTCACCATCCCCAAGCACTGAGTCAGGAGTGGCCCCCCTGAGGAAAAAAAAAATCACATCAGAGGTAAAAAGCAGTGACAGAACAGGGCCCTGAGCAGTGACAGAGCACACCCTGTGAAATGTTGTGTCTCTGGGGCTGGAGCCATAGGACAGCAGGGCGGGCACTTGTCTTGTACTCGGTCGACCTGGGTTCGATTCCCAGCATCCCATGTGCTCCCCTGAGCACCACCAGGAGTAATTCCTGCCTGAAGCCAGAAGTAACCTCTGAGCATCATTGTGTTTGACCCAAAAACAAACCAACCCCCCCCCCAAAAAAGCAATATCTCTTGGTAAAAAATTTCCTTTTGGGGGCAGGGGTGGCTGATGCTCCCAGGGTTATGCCTGGCCTGCGCTCAGGAGTCAACCCTGCCTGCTGCTCCTACGTGGTACCAGGGGTCAACGTGGGCCCCCATGCATCTCTCTGACCCGTGATGGGAACACAACCACGGGTTGTGTGTCTCTGCGTCCCTGAAGGGGTCATCTGGGTGAGAGGACAGTGGCTACTCGAGCTGGGGGGGGGGGGGGACACGCATTCAAGCAGAGACCTGCGGCCAGCTCCAAGGGCACATCCCTAGAAGCCTCTGGAAGCCTCTAGATGTCCGGGTTCTGCTGGACCCTTTTGGGTGCAGAGATCACCAGGAGGGCAGGGACACGGCGGGGTCACGAAGGGCTGGTATGACCCGGCGGGTCCAGGCCCGACCCGACACTGGCCACGGGGCCTGGCTCCCGAGAGCAGCTGATTCAGGCCTTTCAGCCCCGTAAAGCTTAATAATACCACAAGCCCCATCCCAACAGGCTCGGCCAGGTATGAATTACTAGTCTGGGTTAGAGGCGCTTAAGCCAGGGAAACCAGTTTTTAAAAACACTCCTTGCGAGGAAATAAAAAGGGAAGAATTAGAAAGAGGATAAGGTGGTTCTGAGGAATAACCCGCACTTAACTTTCAGGCAGCAAATTAAGAACCTGTTTTTGGATTATGATCATCAAAACCATCTTCCCGTTTCACTTCTTCAAAGCAGGGGAGCGGAATATAGGAATGGACAGCTGGGCGGGGAGGAGGGTGGGATCCGTGCTCTGCCCTGGGGTGGGGGTGGGGTGGGACTGCCCCCAGCGCACATGTCGTTAGCAAGCCACAGAGAAGGAAGCACTCAGGATCGACCTTCCTCACACTGCGTTTCAGCCCACGGGCTCACTTGTAAACTGCGTGGGCTGCAGCTCTTCGAGTCCTGTCTCGGATGTTCATCGGGTTTCCTGTTTGATCTGACGACCCTGACTGGGGGCGGGAGATGGACGGAAGGTGCTGGAAGGAGCAGCCTGCAGCGGGGAGGAGCTTGTAGTAGGCAGCCAGCAGGGCAGAGCATGGAGCCGGGGAGAGGGGGGTCACAGACGTGGGGGGCTGCCATGCAGGCGGGAAAGAGCCCCAAGCAGGAGGATTCTCCCACCCGAAGTCTTTCCTCCCAGAGGTCCCACCGGTGCCAGGAAGGGGCTCATCTTCCCAGAAGTTGGCGGGGAATCCTTTGGGGGCCACAGGGCCCCCTCAGGAAGAGGTGACACAGGCTGGCACAGAGCCGGGCTCCTCACTCCTTCCTGCCCCGTGCGGCTGAGATCGCCCACTTCAAAACCAAGTTCGCCGATTAGCAGAGAAGGTGGGGTGGCAGGTCTGGAGCCCTGTTCTGCAAATTCACAAGAGCAATTGGTATAATCTGGTTGGTTTATGTTTTTATTTTATTTTACTTGTTTCTTTCTGCTTTTCGGGTCATACCCAGCAATGCTCAGGGGTTCCTCCTGGCTCTGCACTCAGGAATCACTCCTGGCGGTGCTCGGGGGACCCCATGGGATGCTGGGAATCGAAACTGGGTTGGCCGCATGCAAGGCAAACGCCCTCCCCGCTGGACTATCACTCCGGCTCCTGGTTTATGTTTTTAAAAGCATGTGACAGCCTACAGTTCTTTGTATGATGTCCTCCTTGATCATAAACTCAAACGTGAAGAATAATGGTTCCACTCATGAGTAGCTTTGTAATTCATGGTGACTAAATATAATTTTTTTCCTATGGAAGAAAAGGGGGGAGGGGCAATTGTTTCTTTCTCCCCTCCCTACCCCTAACGATGGTTTCAGCTTTAAGAAAGACACAGATTTACAAAATGTCCCAGGAAGGAGCATTTCACTTTCCTGATGTTTAAACAAAAACTTCCGGGAGCGAGTGAGGGGTTCCGAGCCCAGCCACGGGCTTGTCCTTTGCTTTTTCACCTCACAGCGAATTCCAAATTTCTCTGCCCCCCCCCTTCCACTCTCTCTGGAAGCACAGCAAACCCCAAATTAAAACTCAGGATAGTTTCTGCTGTGTTTGTTTTTTCATCTTCCAACGGCTGGTCTACAGAACTGCACAGCCCAGATGTCAACCGAGGAGACTTCGGTGTGCCGGGGAGGAGGGGATCTGCCCTTGTTTGCCCCCTCAAAACATTAGCACCGCGCTGACGAGGGTCTTCCCCGAAGAATCCACTTCCTCGAGTCGCAGCCTTGAAACGAGGCCGTGCAGACTTGCCTGGTTCTCGGCTTCCAAACCACGCTGACCTGCACTTCCGAATGAAGGAGGTCGGAACTCAGGTCTTGAATGACGTAGTATCTTGGATTTTTTTATTCCACATCCAGTAATGCTGGGGGTCTGCGCTGGGCTCACTGCTCAGGGGCTGTTCCCAGCAGTGGTTGGGGAACCACAGAATCGGCTCAACCCTCTGCCTGCAATGCACGAGCACTGGCCTCTGAGCACTCTCTGTGGCCATAATGTGGATATCAATGAAATAATGCACTAACTTGGGTTTTTAGCTTTCTAGATATTTAACTTTCGGGGAGGGAGGATCTGGGAAAAGGGGGGAATTTTCCTTTGGATATTTACCTTCTGTTCATGGCAAAGCCTGGCAAGCTCCCCGTGAGAAATTTAATATGCCAAACACAGTAACAACAAGTGTCACAATGGAGACGTTACTGGGCCCACTCAAGCAAATCAATGAACAACCGGGAGGACAGTGCTACAGTGCTACCTTCCTTCTGTTCATATTTATTTAACAGTTTTGGAAATTTAACTTGGGTCTTTAACTGCCTGGAAATCTGAATGAATAAGGCACTAAGTTGGGACTTCATAATGCTAACTGTTGGGGGGCGTGAGGGTGGCTGCCCTCCCAAATGGTGCTGAGAAGCCCCGTAATTCTGGACCCACCAGGCTGGTGGTTCACCGCAAAGAGGATGTGGTGCAGCCAGGGGCTGATGGTGGCAGGGATTCTCCTGCGTGCCCGAGGGGCCCCCAGGGGCTGGAGATAAAGCCAGAGGCAGCAATACATGCAGCTCAGCTCTGGAACTCTCTCCAGCCCTGCTAGGAGAATTTTTTTTTAAATTTTTGGTTTTTGGGTCACACTGGTGTGACTCCTGGCTCTGTGCTCAGGAATGACTCCTGGGGCTGCTCAGGGGACCATATGGGATGCCGGGGACTGAACCCTGGTCGGCTGCGTGCAAAGCGAACACCCTACCCGCTGTGCTACGGTTCCGGCCCCAAGAGAATCTCTTTCAGCATGTCCCAACCAGCTGCGGCCCATGGGGGCGGGGGGACGGCGACGGGCACCTGGTGGTGTGTGTGTGTGTGGGGGGGTGGCTGGAGCATCGCAGTGACCCGTCCTGGCTTGTTCCCCAGATGCTGAGCCCCACGCCGGGGCCAGCGGCGGCGGCGGCGGCAACTCCAGCCAGGGCTGGGGCCGGAACGGCACGGCACGCGGCGAGTTCGACGGCATCGTGCTGCCGGCCCTGTACCTCGTCATCTTCGTGGCCAGCCTGCTGCTCAACGGACTGGCCGTGTGGATCTTCTTCCACATCCGCAACAAGACCAGCTTCATCCTCTACCTCAAGAACATCGTGGTGGCCGACCTGCTGATGACGCTCACCTTCCCCTTCCGCATCGCGCACGACGCGGGCCTGGGGCCCTGGGCCCTCAAGCCCGTCCTGTGCCGCTACACGTCGGTGCTCTTCTACGCCAACATGTACACGTCCATCGTCTTCCTGGGCCTCATCAGCGTCGACCGCTACCTGAAGGTGGTCAAGCCCTTCGGGGACTCGCGCATGTACAGCGTGGCCTTCACCAAGGCGCTGTCCGTCGGCGTCTGGGTGGCCATGGCCGTGCTGGCGCTGCCCAACGTCGTCCTCACCAACGTGCCGCCCACCCCGGAGAACGTGCACGAGTGCATGAGGCTCAAGAGCCCGCTGGGGCGCCGGTGGCACACGGCCGTGGTCTACGTCAACAGCTGCCTCTTCCTGGCCGTGCTGGTCGTCCTCATCGGCTGCTACATCGCCATCTCCAGGTACATCCGCAAGTCCAGCCGGCAGTTCATCAGCCAGTCCAGCCGGAAGCGGAAGCACAACCAGAGCATCCGGGTGGTGGTGGCCGTGTTCTTCACCTGCTTCCTGCCCTACCACCTGTGCCGCGTGCCCTTCACCTTCACGCACCTGGACCGGCTCCTGGACGAGTCGGCCCACCGGGTCCTGTACTACGGCAAGGAGATGACGCTCTTCCTGTCGGCCTGCAACGTGTGCCTGGACCCCATCATCTACTTCTTCATGTGCAAGTCCTTCTCCAGGAGGCTCTTCAAGAAGTCCAACATCCGGACCCGGAGCGAGAGCATCCGCTCCCTGCAGAGCGTGCGGAGGTCCGAGGTGCGCATCTACTACGACTACACGGACGTCTAGCGGCGAGCCACCCCCCCGGGTCTCGGCGGGGACAAGGTCACAGTGTACAGAGTGTAAATAAAGGGTCCTTTTGGTTATCCCGGTGTGGGTCCGTCCAAAAAAATGAGTAGGTAGGAGAGCCAGAAGCTGGGCGGGAAACACAGCGGGCAGGGGGCTTGCTTTGCACACGCCTGACCCAGATTCCATCTCTGGCACCTCCCAGGGTCCCCCGAGCCCTGCCAGGAGTCACCCCTGGGCACAGAACCCGGAGTCAGCCCCCGAGCCCTGCTGGGTGTGGCTCAAAAACCAAGACCCAAAAAAAAGTGAACTTAAAAATGCTATGAAACTTGGATGCAGGCAGGAATGGAGAAAATAATAGTAAAAGTGGGGGAGTGAGAGGCGGGGGTGGCTGGAAGCAGGGCTCGCGGCCGGGCAGCAGTGCCTGGAGTTTCCCCGGCCACGGGCTGCGCTGAGGCCGCTTCTGCGAAGTACAGAGAGGGACGCTCTAGACCGGAGACTCGAGCAGCGGGCAGGGGAGAGCCGGGCTCTGCTGGGTGCCCGCGGGCCAGTCCCCCGACCCGAGCTGTCCCCGGTCACTGTCTCTATCACTGTTGTCCGCACCTGGTGCAAACAGGGCCAGTGGGCTCATACGCCCTGCTCCTCAAACAAGGGGTCTCGGAAGTGGGTTTCAACAGCCGTGGGAGGTGGCGGGGGGCGGGGGGTGGGAAGCACCGCTGAGTATTGAGAAAAATGAACTCGGGTAAGTATGCAGTTCCCCCCGCCACCCCGGCCTTCTGACTGCCCTGCACAGCATTTAAAGTGTCAGGACACGAGGAGCAAACATAGGAGCCTGGTTCACGATCAAGAACACGGAGTTTACCACCCACTATTTAAGAGGCTTGTGATGGAAACCACGTCTAAGCCAGTCTCTATCCTGCCTTCCGTATGGTGGCACTGTAGCACTGTCCTCCCATTGTTCACTGATTTGCTGGAGTGGGCACCAGTAATATCTCTATTGTGAGACTTGTTGTTACTGTGTTTGGCATATCGAATATGTCACGGGGAGCTTGCCAGGCTCTGCAGTGCAGGCGCGATACTCTCGGTAGCTTGCCGGGCTTTCCGAGAGGGGCGGAGGAATCGAACCAGGGTCGGCCGGGTTGGCCGCATGCAAGGCAAACTCCCTACCCACTGTGCTATCGCTCCAGCCCTTCAGTATGGTACTAGCCTGAAAAGAGAACCTTCCTTCAGTGGAAGGGCAGAGTTCAACAGATGGAGCCCAAAGGGGAACCTTTGACGCACGAGCAGGTTTTCCCCTTTTTAGGGTGATAGCATAGTGGGAAGGGCATTTGCCTTGCACGCAGCCGATCCGGGTTCGATTCCTCCGCCCCTCTTGGAGAGCCCGGCAAGCTACTGAGAGTATTCCGCCCGCATGGCAAAGCCTGGCAAGCTCCCCGTGACATATTTGATAGGCCAAAAACAGTAACAGCAAGTCTCACAATGGAGACGTTACTGGTGCCCGCTTGAGAAAATTGATGAACAACGGGGAGGACAGTGACAGTGACAGATGTAAGCCCTGGGTCTGCCTGCTCCAGTGACACTTTCAGCTGGCTGCGCGTCTGCCCCATACTACAAGAAGGGCGCAGAGAGTGAGAAGGGAGGGCCGGCTTGCTAGGGTCCCGGAGAGGGAGACACCCGTCCGCCAGGACTAGGCTTTATTGCTAGGGGCTTCTCCTCAACCGGCTGCAACGGTCCAAGGGGCCAGAGGGAACTAGAGGGAGCCACGCCACAGTGAGGAGACTCTAAAGGTACAGAAATGGAACTGGGGACTCTGGGTGGGCCAGAGAGTGGGCAGGGTGGGGGGCTTCAGGGCAACGGCTCAATCTAGCGCCTCTACCAAGGCAGTGGTCTCTCCAGTCGAGACCCCCCTCCACTTCTGTGGGTGCGCCTGGCCCCAGTGAATATGCTCCTCAGTGGGTTATTTGCACAGACCTCCCTCCCACACACACCCACGCCCCCCCCCCCCCCCAGCTGTGTGTCACTGCGCAGAAGCCTAGAGGACCAAGCCGTGACCATCTGCCCAGGCCGGGACACGCCATGAGAAAAGGAAGGATAAGACAGCTGCAGAACGCCTGCAGATTTTTTATTTTTCTTCTTGGGTCACACCCGGCCATGCTCAGGGGTTAATCCTGGTTCTGCACTCAGAAATTACCCCTGGTGGTGCTCAAGAGACCATATGGAATGCTGGGAATCGAACCCAGGTTGGCCGCGTGCAAGGCAAATGCCCTACCCAATGTGCTATCGCTCCAGCCCCCGCCCACAGATTTACACAAGACTCCCACCCAACATTCTCTCTCAACATCACGAACGCCACCAAAACCTTCAAAAACGACACCCACTATGCTAAAGGCAGGTCACCCCAGAATTCCTTCTCTCTACGCCACCCTCCCCAAATAAAAACTAACTACTGGTCACCTTTAATGGCATTGACCCACTCCATTAAACCTCCGAGTCTAGCAACACGTCTCCATCCACCCTCACTCGAGCCTCTAATTCAGAACTTGATGCTTCAGAGGTCTTTAAAATACTGTAATGCCATTGGAACGCTGCTGAAATTGAACTGCGATGGTTAGTGGGCATGTTTAAATGTCACAGGGATTTCAGTCCCTGAAATGACACTATTAAATCCCAGGGGCCACCTTAAAATATTGACCTGAGGGGGGAAAAAGCATTTCCCTCTGTTTAAAACAAAGTTACAGAAACAGCAAACCCACTCTGCTGACATTTTACACCAATGACCACACAATGTGACCACAAAAATGATTTATCCTGGCCCGCCCAAGTCCAAATTATTTACAGGAAGGAAAATGGTATTGCATTAATAATGTATTACGGTGTGCTCATATCTGAAGCTGGCACATCATTTCACACTCCTATGGAATAGAACGAGAATTCTATTGGCTTTTTAAAATGTTGATAATCTGGCAACCGACAATCGACCTTTTCCTATATGAATCCTTGGGGCGCTATCAGTATTTCGGGCGGCAATAAGTGACAATCAGTGGCACCTTTTTGGGAGAGGAGAAATAGGAGTCGATCATTTCCAAGAAGAAAATTCTTTATATATTTTATAAAACTTCCACTCAAACCAGCCCACGGTGCAGAAAACCTTCCAGGGCGGTGTTGGCAGCTCAGGTCCCCCCGCTGAGTCCCCCAGGCCGCTCCTGAGCTGTTCTTGGCTTCATTCCGCGTCTTACAGACGCCTCCAAGAACAGGAGCTGGAGAAGCCCAAGAACAAAGAGGAAATAGTGGCACAGGAGACCACAGTGCCCGCTGCCAAAAGGGACTCGTTCAGAAAACAAAGACGAATAAGGGGGGGGGGGGGTGTCAGGAAAATCTCGCACACTCGCCCTTGCCCCCCGGACTAAAGTGCACGGGAAAGGGCCAGAAGATCAGCCCAGACTCATGGCACATGGCAGGGGACAGGAACCCAATCTTACCCTGGGCTTGGCGCAGGCAACTGGTGGTGGGCTGAGTTTTGAAGAGACTAAACCCGGACTCTCAAAAGAAACGCCACCTTGTCAATCCGTTTCGTATCTTGCAAATTTTTTGAACGTCAGTTCAAAGAAATTAAATTAGAAGCCACACAACGGTGACTGGTCCCAGGCACTGTCTCGGGCAAACTCCTCAGCCGCAGAAGCGTTTCTTCAGATCAGACCAGACAGACACACCTGCAGTGAAAGCAGGAAACACAGTGCCGGCGGCCGCTGGCGCCATCTAGTGACGACACTCATGAACAGTGGGTGTCTTCCTTACGCCCTGCTGTGAGGTGTAAGGGTCAGGTGTAAGGGTGTGAAGGTGCAAAGGCTGTAAGGTGTAAGGGTATAGTGGTGTAACGGTGTGAAGAATGCAAGGTGGAAGGGTGGAAAGGTATAGGGTGCGAGTGTATTGGTGTAAAGGCCAAAAAGGGGTAAGGGTGCCAAGGTATAAGTGTGAAGTGTGAGGGTGTAAGGTGTAAGGTGATAGGGACACACCTCCTCACACACGGCATCTGGTCCCAGTCATGCCACGCCCCCAGGCCCCCTCGGCCCCCAGACCACTCACTCGCAGGGCTGCCTGGGAAACACCATGTGGAGATGTATGAAAGAACCTCCAAGAGGAAGGTCTCCATAGACCTTTTGAGAGAAAACTCAAACAGGAAAAGCCCCAAGAACCTGCTCACACACATAAATTTCAGCGGGAAAATGCTGCAAACATGGATTTTTCTCTTTTATAATTAACCAGGGCAGGACATTCATCAGACTAAAATCGCGACTTTTTAAAAAAATTTTGAATATCTCTAAATTCTTATTAACCAAAAGGATTTAAAAAAAAGTCTGAAAGTGATTTTTCTCCAAAAGGTGAAACAGTGGCTTAGAGAGTGAGAGTCCAGGGGGTTACCAGGCCACCTTGGTCCTATCCCCAGCACCCTGGACATCCCTATCACAGCAGTGTGCAGCCCTGCCAGGCCAGAGCACGCCCAGGGGACGCCCAGGGAACCCGGGCACAGGGTGGGGTGGGGGTCCGTCCCCCGCCCCTGCATCAAACTACGGGCCCGGCTGGCTGGCTGGAGACCTCTGGAGAAGCCTCCGGTCTCTGGGCGCTGTCTGGGAGGCCCCAGATAAATCAATTCTCTGGATTAAAGTAAACGTAGGGCTGGAGAGATCGCCCCGAGGGCCAGAGGGCAGACACTGGGTCCGGAGGCACCAGTAGGCGGTCAGTCCCCTGGGCACTGGTGGGGTCTAGCTCCCACGCCCTGAACAGTGTGTGGCCCCGCCCTCCACTCTGAGAACTTTGCTCTTGAGGCGTCACATGATTTTCTTCCTCATTTAAAAACCCAAGATCCAGAACCAAATTGCAAATTGGTTTCACACCGTTTCCTAGGCAAACAGTTCAAAATAAGCCCAAGGGACCAGTCGCCCTTCGGATGAGGCCAGAGGCTGTCCAGGGCTGCCGCTCAGGCCGCTCTCAGCAGTGCTCGATAG